CTCCCGAAGGGCCGCAAACATTTCTTCTTCTCAAGTCAAGAGCTATTTTCGATAGCCAGGCACACATTTACTGTGTGTAATTTTCCCAAGCTACTCCAGTGCCTATCATTTAACTCTGTATTTCTTCGTTAGATGAGTGCCAGTCCTGCTAGTGCTGGCGCGGGCTGCGTTGCACAAGGACCACTGCAGAGCTGATGAGCTCCACAGGGGTTGCTGCACTTCTGAAACCTTTGCAGGCTCTGAAGTTTGGTGGCTGTTTGGGTCCCTGTAGAGCTCTGAGGTTCTTAGGGGCTGAAAGAAGCATAATTGCAAAGTGAGAGCATTCACTGTGAAGGGCCTCACCATGTAATTGGCTGTCCCAATTAAGCAGCTGCTCTTCCCACTGAATAACGCTCAGGAAGGTAAACGTTTGCCTGCCCTGTAAGGTGTCCCAATTAACTGCCTTAAAATCAGCTAAGTGTCGTGTGGGGTATCTCTGTTCAGTGCACGAAACAGCGGCATGCATCTCGATGGGGGCTGCTGTTTTAATGACGCTCCTGGCAGGAGCCTGGCTTCGTGCGGGATAGCAGGGCTGAAAGGATCGGCATCAGGGTTGGGGAGCGGTGCGGATCAGAAAGTTGCAAAGCTGATGGGTGCTGGTGATGAATTTCTCTCCCTCTGTGCGTACTGTTGGAAATCACTGCTAAATTATAGCATTTAATCTTGGCATTTGTACTCTGCAAGCTTTTTTCTATGGATGTGGGATTATCTGCTGTCAGTGTGCCTAGACTTCATGAGCTTCTCTGAAAAGAAGCTCTGTTATTTATCACATTTGTTCATCTTGCAGAAAGGAATCGAGAAAAACTGTTTCTTTGGGGGGGAGGGGCATATCAATACTGTGAAGTTACAGCTGTACAATACATAATGATTTCTTTTCTACCTTTTAAGAGGAAGCTTTATTGCCTGGGATCACCTTACTTACCCAAGATGCAAAAAATTAAACAATACTGAATCTAAAGATGCATAGAA